TTTTGTTTCTTCTTCCGTTTCTCAGTAATGTAATTTTGTTTGTTTTACGGCTTTTTTTTAATTTATTAACTGTTATTTGGTAGGTTACTGTAAAGTGTAGACGTTGGTTCAGATAAATATAGAGTAGGATAATTCAAAACAAACATACTGACAAATTCCTGTACCTACAACAATTCAGACCGCTAGTAAATAAATGCAACCATTTTGATGTCAACACAATTTGAAATGTCTCAACATAAAATTCCTAAGTGTTTTGAATATATTTTATTTCAAATATTTCCTTAAATGCTGAAGCTTGACGATTGTCGCTGGACTTTAAGCCCTTACAAAATATATACTTACTTGTACCAATTTGTTTGTTAAACAGAAAGTGTCATTACTAAGCTAGACTGTGATATCCATTCGACAATTGTTTCAACAAGGACCTTTTTCAGAAAATTCTCAAAAATCATAGGACTTTTTGTGTTTAACTTGTTTGATCTTAAGGTGCATGTATCTTTAAAAATAATATTTATTCCTACCGAAATTGTACAAAAGTACAGCAAACAGAAATAAAATCAAACAATTTAAAGGTGTTTTTTTCTTTGATACATTTAAACGTGTAAGATATGTCATGTTTGATGCATTTATAAATTTAAACAGCTGTCGTTGTCCTTGTTCCTTGAACCCGCTGACGTGCCAAATGAATAAAGGGGAGTTTTGGTAATGTAAATTAAATTTTGATTTTCCATGACAGACTTATACTTGTATTATGGATGTGATTAATTAATCCTTTTAGGTATAAAACATAGTAGTTTACAACAGGTAAGTACAATGAAAAAAATAAGCTCACAAACATAAGTTAATGATCTTCGCTCCTCTGTTAGAAAATAACAAGTTTTTTAACACTTTTATAAATTGATAGTATATAAATAACGAAACTTAAAAAGCAGAAAAAAATGAAAGGTCCGTGTCCTTGTTTTTGAAATATCATCAATTGAAAATTTGGCGGGAAATGATTCTCTTTATATTTTTCATACATATAACATGGACACTTTTTTCTTTCGAAAACGATGAAAATATAACAAGGGTTTTCAAAAGTGGCTTTGTAAACCATATGTAATAAAATTATGAAAAGAAAAGTAAGGGTGAGCGGCAGCATTTTTTTAGGCTATTTATGGATTTAAGTAGAGAGTTCCGAATATCTGACAAAAAGTCACAAACAAGAGTAGTAAACATCCTTAATATATGTGTATGATGTAATGTATTCAGCAGATATTAAGATAAATTATTGCTATCACTTCTTTTCGAAAACGTCAGCAGATTCCAAAGGGGCAATCAAAACCTATAAGTCCTCGGAAAAGGTTTCAAGGGAGCATTCAGAAATTATTAGTCCACGGACAAGATTCCAAGGGAGCAATCAAAAACTATTAGTCCACGGACAAGATTCCAAGGGAGCAATCAAAAACTATAAGTCCACGGACAAGATTCCAAGGGAGCAATCAAAAACTATTAGTCAACGGACAAGATTCCATGCGGGCAATCAAAAACCATAAGTCGACAGAAAACAACAGCATAACAAATAGAAAAACACCAGAAAGACAAAAGTTGAAATAAAACAAATCTTTCCAGTTGATGTCAGTTCAGCATTAATTTCATCAGGAACGACCAAACCCTCCCCCCCCCCCCAAAAAAAAAAATGAAAGCCAATGACGCATAAGTGCTTCAATATGTGAGGAGCTATAAGCCCAAAAAAGAAAATTCCAAATATGTACATTGCTTCAAGACTAAAATGATCGCAAAAAAAAAAACCCCACATTAAATCAGTTACAGACACACTGTGGTCCGATTAGGATATCTAAATTTAATGCCTTGTGTAACTGTTTGGAAAGTGTCACGCTCTATGCACGCAAAGGAACCTTTGCTATAACCTCGTACGCATAGGCGAACTTTTGCAAAGCAAAATGATTGCCTCTTCCAACCATTCCCGTATAATTGTTTGATTCTACAATAAAACACATGCACTATAGCCCTCTTCTAAATCCCCTCACTGATGACGAATAGAACGTCGCTTTAATAGTTCATTGCCAATTCTATATATATATATATATAAACCATATTAATAAAGAATGCTAAAATCACTGTATATTTGACAGTGAATTAGAATATACACTTATAGTTATCTAAGAACAAATGAAGATGTGTGGTATACGTATATAATTAAACTGCAATCACACGACAAAAAAAAACGAATACATTTAAAGGGCAACATGTATTTTCTATTAATAAATAAGTGTCTAATATTATAGAAATGTTTTACCTCTCAATCGTCCTGAATTACCACTTTTAAAAATAGAAATCTTGAAACTTATACAGTACAAATTTTAAAATTTAGCTAAATCAGAAAAACTACATGTAGTAATAAAATATGTCTTTTGGGGTTGTTCTGTATTGTTTGGTTGCTGAATTATTAAACTTATTATATTATATCAAAATGAAAATAATTTCCCGATGAAAAAAATATCGGTAACCAGGTAATTCTTTTTGATTGCTTTTGTCGTCTGTCTCTTATTAGAGGGGGCGGACAGGGTCCCTAATTCCTTCTTCCATACCCTCCAACTTCCAATTTTCTCCCCCTTACTCCCAGATGAAAATCGGTCAATTCTTTCCCCCCAGAATATCCCTATGTTTTGCCCTCTACCCCGGTTTCCGCCCCCTTATTCCCATGTTCCCTTATCCCTGTCCATTCCCTCTTATTGTCTATTTTGAAAGAGTTATCTTTCACATTTTAAGTAACAGAGCGGTAATATAATTACAGTATATGACAAGTTACGTGATTTAAAATATATACAGATCAATAAACTGTTTACTAAAAATTGTTCAAGTCACCAGAATGACAATTTGACAAACACATTAGAAGGAATATCGAAATTGTCCTCTGTAATGTTATGTGTGTTCAATAAAATTTAAATAGCTTGCACTTCTCATCCCCTTTACCTTTAAAAGGTTTAAAAATGCAAGACAACATATTCAGTTCCGAAATGATTGAAATGTCAATGCTGCAGCCTTTTAGAAATTCATACGTAGCATCCATATTCCAGTTGTATCAACTTTTTTTCCGGAAAAGGGAGGGGGCAATTAAAACTTCCCGCTTTTAATCTAGGTGGATCCATGAACTTTGCAGAATCGCCCGAATTTATTGAAATGTTAATTTTTTTTCGTCCTAAAATACCTTAAATATTTGCAACTGAACATACAGCAAACATTTACTTCATAAATGCAGATTTTCGATTTTATGTTTTTTTTTTACATATCTCGAAGACGAATAAATAAGGTTAGATTGAATGTGAGTATGTATTTTATTCAGGACAAACAGAAAAACTGCACTGCCGCCATCAGAGAATCAATTTAATGCTCTCGTTGTTTTATTTAGTTTAAAAAAAACTAATCCACTATATATATTGGGGTACGTAAAATCAGCATCGACAACAATGTATTTGTGCATATTAACTAATGGGAATTTGAAATTGAGAATGAAAATTTGGAATGTGTCAAAGAGACAACAACCCGACCAAAGAGCAGAAAACAGCCGAATGCCACCAATGAGTCTTCAAATCAGCGAGAAAATCCTGCATCCGGAGGCGGGTTTCAGCTGGCCCCTAAATAAAAAAAGTGTACTAGTTCAATGAAGATGGAAGTCACACTAAACTCCAAAACATATAAATGAACTAAAATTAATTATATAAAAAACATACAAGACTATCAAAGGCCAGAGGCTCCTGACTTGGGACAGGCGCAAAAATGCGGCGGGGTTAAACATGTTTTGTGAGATCTCAACCCTCCCCCTATACCTCTTGTCAATGTAGAATAAACAAACACACAGCAATACGCACAGTAAAACTCAGTTTAAAAGAAGTCCGAGTCCGATGTCAGAATAGGTAACAAAATAAACTAAGCAAAATGACAATGATACATAGATTAACAAATGACTACTACATGTAGCAGTTACTGACATGCCAGCTCCAGACCTCAATTAAACTGATTGAAAGATTATGTCTTCACCATATGAAAATCAAGCACAATCCATCCCGTTAGGGGTTTAGTATCATACCATCATAAGATATATGAGAAGAACATAACCCGTATCATTCCAACAACTGGTTTTAGAATACATGTGTTTATTTCCGATGCAAATACCCTATGAGTGAATCAATATTAATACCAAAAAATGCCATCTTTAATGACCTGACAACAGTAAAGTAACTATATCCCTTCTGAATAAGTCTGTTTAAAGGTTTGGTTAGCTTTTGAGGTGAATGTCGACATATTTGTGCTTTGTATAGAATATTACCATAACAGATTGGATGTGAAATACCTGAACGTATAAGATGTCTGCATGTTGATTTATATTTACGAATGATATCCTTGTATCGATAATACAATTTAATAATGTTTTGTGATATCGAAAACCCTGGTGTAATAATTTTTCAGTAATACAGTGGTTTCTTTGGTTAAAATCAAATACGTTGTTACATACACGAGCGAATCGAACAAGTAGAGATATATAAACACTATAAGATGGTAACAAGGGAACGTCACCATATAAAAATTACATTTTAATAAAACTTTATTTCGATTCGGCATAGAAAGGTAAAACAGAATTTGGACACATTTGCTTTCGTCACATATTAAATGTTCTCCTGACTATAATATTAGGGTAAAAGTAACTACTTTAAAAGTTACAATTTACCCGTCAGGAAAATACATTTCTGTAATATATCAAACAATGACCGAATTCAATCGCTTAATATTCTTTAAATCATAATACAAGTAAATGTATTAAAGAAACAAGAATTTCATGTTTATTTTTTTTTTTTTTTTAATATATCGGTTGATATTGCGAACTTAAATGCGTTTTACTTATTAAAATATTTACAATGGCCAATCAAAACGATTGAGAATACTATAGTATGAGTATATAAATATTGCTTTGCTGAGCAGGAAACTCAAAGATTTTACAGGTTTAAGCATTAATTTTTCAAATCAACTGTAAGTATATTTAAACTACATTAAGATTTTAACTTTCAAGTAACAGTCAGCATTCTCTAAAATCTTTTCAGACCCAATTCACTGGGTTAAACTGCAGTTAAGGAAAACCAAGATTTCAAACGAAAAAACTAGGAAAAATTAATTGAAGATAATAAGAAGCCTTTTTTCAGAGTTCAGCGTATATCTAAACTGGAACAAAACTGTAGCATATCTCGTGCAGAAGTTATCATTTATGAAATAAATCAATTGTAAAAAAAATCGGGATGATGCCAGTAATTGTCGAAATTCATGACTGTAAACTGAGATAGCAATTATGTTTTTATGTCCGTATCTGTAAATTTCAGGGAAAGAGTTGACGTGTTTATTGTTAAGAGAATGTTATAAGAAATTTTCAAACATTATCTACAGTTAAAAACATTGTCATAAAAAATTTTACGTTAGGAACTATCATAAACTGTTGTTTCGGAAAAACAATAAATTCACTGACCTTAATTTAAATTTAAATACTTACGCCGAAAGCTAGTTTTGAGTTTGACTTGTTAAAGACACTATGCAAAAAATATGACCAATATACTCGTCTTGTATAAATTGAAGTTCATGCAGATGTATATCTATATTATTGAATAGTTATAGAAAGGTAATGACAATATTAGGTCCGTCGTCATAGATTTGCCTCAACATCCTCAATTTTATACTATTTAAATACCGGAAAAGATGGTTTGACTCTTTTAGGGTGAGCGATGAATATTGGTTGCTTAATGCTCAGTGACAAATATGTCATGCATGTTCCAAATAAATTCAGATATAGGTGCTGCAATATTTATAACCATATTTCTATACCTAGGTCGACCTTTGGGTTGCTAGGTGTATTTAAGTACCGAGTTTTAAGTCAGTTAAAATGTATGTCAATATCTTAAACATATAAGTCATTTGCATTTGCCTGCAGCAGATTGTTATTTATCGTTCTTTTGCTGAACTAGTATACATTATTGTTAAGGAACCAGCTAAAGTCAGTCCCGGGTGCGGGATTTTCTCGCTTGGTTGAAGACCCATTCGTTTGGCAGTTTCTTCTCTTTGATCGGGTTGTTGTCTCTTTTACACATTAACCGTTTCCATTCTCAATTTTATTATAATGCTTATATTTTCCACATTATTATGACGATTTTCTCATTGCTATGATATCATCGTAACAATTCAACTACAATTTGGACCTATCAGAATCATTTTCTAGTTATTCATTGTTATCAGTTACGGACGTTAATTATTTTTCCCCTATTTACGTGACATACGCCCGATTTTTTTAACGGATGATTTCTTCATTAAAGAGTAACTTCTGCAAGAGATACATTCCTGGGGCTTTTTTTCACCAAAAAATGGATCGTAAGTTATATTGAAATGTTCATGTAATGTATTTTCTGTCTTAGGATTTTTTGTGAGATGAGTCGCAGTGTTGTTCCCTTTCTAGATTTACCCATATTAATGCCAAAATGCATAAAGACAATTTTATCTTATGAATTGAAAGAAAGTTATTTTACCTCATTTACCGTCAAACATCTAATGATGCAGTTACAGATTAAGTTTAACTCCAGTTTCAGCAAAATATTCGGTGATATCGGAAATTTTCCCTTTTTTCAAAGGTTATTATTATTTTTGTTTGTAATTTTTTAGCTTTATGAACTGATGTTAATATTAGCGCGTGCCAATTATAATAATATATTTTATTATAATATGTAATGTCGGGTATAATCGTGTATAAAAATACTACCCGAGAATATGATATGGGCACTGTGATCAAAATATTTTAAATTTTACCTGTAATACTATACATGTTTGCATTCCAAATCCTTTACTAGTAATAAATTTTTCCTCGACCTGTATAATTGTCTTTCTGAAGACAATATGTTACTTATATATTTGTAATAATAACTACGGAAATAAAAAATGTAAATTCCCTAACTGCCTGAGACCTATTATATACATATGAAAGTATTTTTTGATTGAAAATTAATTATAAACGTTGACAAATAACAGAACTAAGCATTACACGACTGTAATAAGTTTTACTATTTAATAATTTTATTTAAAACATGACTTACAGAGTAAATTCAGTCCCTGTTCTTAATCACGATCAGCGAACTGTTCTAATTGAATTATCAGTGATACTTTCATAACAATAAATTACCAAAACTTTGATTTTTCCAAAAAACTAAAGATTTTCTACCACAGGAATAGATTATATTAGCTGTATTTACCAAAACCTTTTGGAATTTTAGGTCCTCAGTGCTGTTCAACTTCGTACTTTTTTGTCCTGTTTAACCTTTTTATTCGAGCGTCACTGATGAGTCTTTTGTAGATGATACGCGCGTGTGTCGTGCACAAGTTTAATCCTGGTATTTATGATGAGTTTATTTACGGTCAAGGCTAGTTTATTAAAGTTCTACCTAATGATTGATCCTGACAGTTCTATATTTAACAGTTTTAGACATTACTAGGGTAAAACTGATGCAAACAGATCTATGACTTATTAGTCTGATAGTTTTAAAGAGAGGTTAGAACTGATTCAAACTGTACGTCAATGAGATAACAACCCAAAGACACAATCAACAAGGGACATTATGCATGAAATCAACATACAACCTATTTTAACAGTCAAAAGCAAAATTTAGTACATTAAAATCGACTCATTATTTACTATATAAATGTTCTGACTGTTAAATACACTGTTCAAAAACAAAGAGAGCTAAACATTGGAGGCTGCTATTAGAGCGATTTAAGTTATCTTAATTTTGATTATTGAAATTATGATTTTTAAATTTTTTAGATATTTATCCCTGATCCCTGATTATAACCAATAATATGAAGTATTTCGTCGTTGTTTTGGTACTTTCACTCTGTGTTGCAGGTAAGAGGATTATATATCAAATATTTTGCTGTACATATACAGTTTGAACCTTTATCAAATTTGCATGCGTGTGTACGGTTATTATATGCTACTAGTAGGGTATCTCTGCAAAATTAGGTAAAAGTTGTGCAAAGTGTATATTTTAATACTAATTAGTGCATACATGTATATATCTTTCCGTAAATTTCAAATCTGAAAATTAGTTAAAATTCAAGAACAATACATGTTAGGATTTTGTTTTTTTTTGTTTTTAGTGCCGATCTGATGGATCAAGCCTTTGCCAATTGATTTTCATTATTTGTTCTAAAGAATTCTGTTAGCACACTGTTCCAGTAAGGAGAGGGTTTATCGTTTAACATGCTAAACATTTTGTACGTGCTGGTCCTAATTCAGGATCCTGTAATTTAACGGTTGTCATTGGGTGCTGTATACATCATATATTTGTCGTTGGTTTTTGTTTTTAAATTGTTTCATATTATGTTATCCCGAGCCTTATATAACTTACTATAAGGTGTGGGTTTGCCCATTGTTGAATGCAAAAGAGTGCCCTATATATCGTTGTTTACATCCTCGTCTTTTGATCACTGGTGGACAGTTTTTTGCAAGCATACCACATCTCCGTTTTTTTATCTACCAATTTTGAAACATGAAGTTATGAACTAATTTTCAAATGAGTATAGTTGGTCATTAAATGTAGGATGAAGTTCCCTTAAACTTATATCAAACCAGGACATGTTGCAATGCAAACTTTTTGCCCCTATCCAATATATCCTTATTTCCCAATGGCAGTCAAAATTTTAAAAATTCATCCAGATCGACTCACTTAAAAGAACCTACCTATTGCATTTATTGTTAATTTGTTCTCGTCCTGAACATGCATGAATATTTGTTATGGCTGTTACGTGTAAACAAACAACACACTATCAAACAATTGTCATGCAATGCAAATTCAACTAGCCCGTGATGAACATCAGGTATATAGTGTGACATTTAATGTCAACAAAACTACTATATTGATCTGAAATCGATTTTATATTAGACAAAAAAGAGCATCAAGACGGCACCGCCAGTTCAGCAGAAACAATTTGCCCTTCCATGGCAACTTCAAATTCAAATTGAATGAGTTCGTATTGATCAATATAAATGTTTATTTTAGTGTTTTGTTGATAGTTGCTGGTCTTTTCGTCTTTTTTCTTACAGTCATTGCGGTGTCTTATCTATCTTCAACTGAGAGGTTTTATTGTCCTTTTGGTGTTCTTAATTTCTTTATGAATTTTTTGTATGAAACACAATCGCCTCCAGATCAATAAAGCAGCTTTGTTGACATGAAATGTCTAATTTGTATACCGGATATGTATAATTTAATGAAACAATAAAGATAAAATATTAATCTGCAGCTACTTTGGGTCTATACTAAAGGATGATAGTTGCCATACTGAAATGCCAGTTATACTGATTCAGAATATAAAAATGTGCGGCTACTAAGCTAAACATTTTAACCCAATATCAAAAACTAATAAATAAAAAGACTTCTCTCAAATAAAAGCACTATCTGTATTCCCCAGTCATAGGATTTACTGCTGGATTTAAAAAATCCAGAAAATCATATTTCTTTACCACAGTTAAAACTTCGAATAACATTTTAATGAAAATATATCATAATAAGAACTGTCATTTTACACTTTGGTTATTGGATGAATTTATCCTTGTATACTGCGTATATCAACAAATTAATGATCATGTTTTCAGGATTGCATGCTAAAAAGCAGCATATGGCCCGCTATAATTTCGACCAGTTTTGTCCTCATGCACAACTAAGATGTCATTGGTGGTGTCGATCCTGGGGATTTGATAAAGGAGTGTGCGAAGGGCCTGGAGACACCATGTGTTGGTGTTTTTGGAGTATTGGACCGTAAGTACCGCAAACGTAGCTAGATTTGACTCTGTTTACGAACTACTTGTCACAGAATGTTGAATGATAAAAAAAGCTTATGGTTTATCACAAGTGCCTAAAAAATAGGGCGAGGAAACAAGGGGCAATCAAACATAAGTCGAGGAAAAATAGACATCACCCTAGCCAAAAAGATTCAAAGACGAA